TGATTTATTCTTATCGAATACTGTGTATTTTTTATACAATGATTATTTTGAATTTTTTTTGCTGATCAGAGACGGCTGCTCTGAAACATCATAAAGCCGATTGTGGGAGGAGACCATAGTGAAATAATGTGAATGGTTAAGTTGGCAGTGACAAAAGTGGCCTAGAAAGGATATGCAAAAGCCTACGCCGGAGGTAATCTGCTCACTGAAGAGTTGCGACATCTGATAGGGACGGCCAATTCATGTGAATGTGCTCAATCAAAACTAATAAGCAGAAGAAAAAGTCCCAGGAAGTGCCAGCTGGGCCAGGGGGAGCACACTTTGACCTGAAAGGGATGATTCTTAGTGACATGGATAAATTGCCCCATTCTCAAGTGAAAATGGTTTGCCCTGTTTATGATCCAATAGGCTATCAACTTTCGTGGACACAAACCGACCCAAGTGAGAAGGTGCCAAGTAATGTTAAGATGGTGTTACTTCGCAAAAATATTCAACCAATATTAATGTATCAGAATACTCTTGAGCTCATAGACTTGAGCATGAAAGCTTGAGGACCTGTTGAATTACTGAAATATTCAACTACGAGTACTGCGTTTCGCTAAATTCGCAGAAGGAACACATCTTTCTTGGTGATGATGGCAAAGTGCAATTAGTTGGATGAATTCATCTACATACATGAGCAATCATCTGAAAGATGGTAATGAGCTTAAGTGAAGACGATGACGTCGTCGATGGATTACTCGGACCAAAGGTCTCACTGTGGTGTGAAAGGGGAAGCGGAAAAACCATAGATCAGGACCAAAATACTTGCAACAAGAGCGACATACTCAAGTAAAATGAAACTGTTTCTTTTTTGGAGAATTTCTCGGTAGTGCTCGATAAATAGGTACTCTTTTGAGAATAATGTGATAATTAAGTAAGAAAAAGACCTCAAAATGAAGGCAAGATGACTGCAGGTTGTTTTTATGGATTTTTCTTTTTTTATTTATACAAATAGAACAAGTCCCATACTGTTACAAGTATCATTCACTGTTACCTGTTACACGTATCATTCACTAAAAAAGAACATTTATAATTAATTCAAAGCACGCCAGTTCACGACTGCTCTTCTTCGAATTGAGTAATCCGTGATTTACAGAAATACCTTATAAATTCGTGATTTTTATTTATTACTTAAAATTACCTCTTTGAAACTGGGCACGTCATCTACGGCGAATACCAGTAAAAATGCGCTAGCCGAGGCTATGGAGAGTTTCCGCATATCGGGGAAGTTGAAATTGGTGTCCAGAATATCCAGTGGTAATGGGACACCCTGAAACACATTAGTTCCTCCAACATTTCGGGTAAAAGCCTTCTTAACCCATCACAATAAAGGTGAAAAATAAAACCTAAAATATTTCACTGAAAAAAGCTTTTTTGTGATGAACAAGTCAATCTGATCCTAAAGAGCACCAAGTTTTTATCTCTCTACGAGAAAAGGAAAGCANCTCAGCTTTGGCTTTGTTTGGGATCAAAGTTTATCACGGCAAATTCAGAATCTAAAAGGCTGGTTGATATAAAAATTGCAACCATCAAAAGTTATTTCAAGGCTTATCAAAAATAGCTTCCCAGAAACTAGGCCTAGCCATTAAACGAGTCCCGTGGCGACTTGCAACACTTCAGGTTTTTAGAAATCGTAAAAAGTAGGGCCTACAGCTTTTTTTGAAGTTTAACACTTAGTTTACCCATACTACATAACTAACCTTCACTAATAATGGGGACGACGAGCAAGGTGGATTTCGCTCCATAGGATCAATCGATGCCCGCATCAATCCCTGCCTACATCAGGATTCTAGCACCCCATGTTAACCGAGAAAACGGGTTTCAGTTAGATTTTCTATGGTCACGCACAAATTTGAGGACCGTTGTCAAGAGCTTTTCATGGCTTGCTTCAATTGCCCTAACGTCACCAATTGCCAAGCCCCTGTGAATTGTCCAAGAAAAACGGGCAGCAGCCTTGAAACAAAGCAATTCACACTAGGAACAATAACTTACTCTGAATAAGTATAATTCAATACTAACTGTGAAGTATAATTTTACTAGAAACTTCAAAGTTACCTGTATTCTGAATTGTCGTGAATGAAGATCCTCAATTGTTTCCTTGTACTTTTCTGAGAATTCATTGTAGAGATACCGTCGTATCAGATTCGTTTTTCCAACTTTGGCCGAGCCAAGTACGACAAGCCGATATCGTTCCTCGCTCATCTGTTATAAATCTATACTTGTATGAATAGATAATATTCCTATACTTAGTGATGCATAGACGAGTAATTTTAGACAAGGTAAGAAGTAACCGAAGATAATATCACATCAAATACGAGAATAATAGGTAAGGTTCAATAAAAACCAGTATAACCTATCCCTATTGTCTCACGAAGGCAGACTGGTGAGATCTCAAAGAAACCATATATGTACACGCGAATGTGCACTTATCTCACTGTTGCATGCTGCTTGTTAATCAAAGAAAGGTTGTAGCAGGAAGGGGGACCAGACCGGAAATCGGAAGAAAAACCCAATGGTACTTCACTGATTGCGCAAAAGTATAATGACGAATGATACGAATGATACATTCATTTTAAAATTTAGGCGCAATTATAAAGTATTTGTATTAGACACCTTTCCCAATATATTTATATGAGAAAAGTAAAAATAGGTAAGTCCAAAGTATTACCCATGAAAAAAGTAAAACACCAATGCAAATCATTCTCGCAGCGACCAAATTTTTCTGTCATGTTCTGAGCTCCGCCATTAACTTTTATTTTATAAAGCATAAATGCTAGAAGGGTTTTTTTCGGTTCAAAATAGAGGTAGCTAACTTTCAAGCCACCCCTTCGTTCCTATCGTTCTGCACCCGCTTCTGTAGAGGGCATAGGTGGTCAGTGAATTAGAAGACAATTTAATTTAATAGATTTAGTATCGGAACGACAGAATACATACTTAGACTCCAGCTGTTACCAGCTGATCTTTTGAAAAAGTCAAAAAAAGTCGAGACAGTTACTAGCCAAGGGACCACAAATCATCTTTATAAGGGCTGGCTTTAAAGGATTGAATAGTTTCGTATCCATCGAGTTAGGAGGGACCACATCAATGCATTAGAGATGAATGAAGACGTCTCAGGCGCTCATTCGAAGGAGTCAATGATCAAATGGATGACAGGTGATGAAGATAGTTAACTCAATTTTGCCAAGCTTGAGGGGAGTTTAGGAAATGACAATCCTAAGGGAGCTGGTAAACTTCCAGATATGTGGACTGGCTCAGAAATCGCCGCTCTGAGCCATGAACTGTGGGCTCCGTGGTGCCATCCCATAAAACAGAAGCCCCTCAACAAGTCACGCCCTTTGGCCACTGTAACTTACACCGACCAGATTACTTTTCGTTACTCAGTAAAGGCAGAGAAAAACGTCCGGATCGGGAAATTTATGCATTCGTCTGAGCTTGCCCAGATGTTGCCCCGAGAACATAAATAACAAATCCGGAAAAGCTTAGGAAAAGTCGTCCACGCCCAACTCCGAGCCACTTACCGGGAGTACTACTCATAAATCCCAAAGTCGATATAAAGTCCAAAATGTTACCATTAAGGGACCACTATATCTACCCAGCTTGCCCAAGAAATTAACAGCGTGAAAAGTTAGGCTTAGCATCGTAGGCGGTGAGATGCACAAGGTGCAGCGAAGCTGTACTCATTCGGGAGTACAATTCCATGACTCTAATGCTGGTTATGGTAGTCTAATTATAGTGATGAGCGATAGTTCCGATTTACACACCGCCAGCGAGACAACTAGATAGCACGAAGCCGTGGCACGCTTTCAGCCCATCGGGGCTATCACTACTCATCCGGACACCTAATACACTACGGCTTTCAATGAAAACTGTATGCCAGTAGGGAGACATCTATCTTACTAGAAGTCTGTACTACACTCCATAGTGCATGGCGCGCACCACACGGTTTGCGTTCAATCCAACACATTCTCAGAGCATATCTCTCAGTACAAGAATCCTGTGCTTACTAAACAGTAATCTGCGAAATAGAAAAGTGAAGCAGTTGCTGATACGGTAGTGACTCCCGCCTTCCAGCAAACTAATCACAAGTAAACATGTTTCGAAGGTATTATTTACAAGAGATTAGTAGCGTAGACAAACACAGCTTGTTTTCCCTGTGAGTTGATCCTCTCAGAACTAAATGCAGTGATATTAAAAAGAGAATAAAGTTTTTGTAGTCAATATATCTCGGTATTCTGAGACGCACATGTCTCGGATCCCATTTAGAGTCACCAAGGCGTTAAAGCTCATGAGTGGCTCTAACAGAGAGTAAGGCTAACATATGCAGAAATCAGTAATCATACTCTTGGCAATGTCCCTAGTTTAATTTAAGGTTATACCAGTTACAGAGATGCCAGTTGGCTCTATAACATCATAGCCTTGAAAGTAGTCATGCTACTGCTGTAAGATTTGCTCCTTAATGGGAAATGGTAATCCCTGGACTGAGAGCAATTTGTTATTGAGGTGCGGTAATTATTGGGAAAGGAAATGAGCCTTGATCGTTGAGGAAGAACTCAATTTTTAGATTGAGAGACTCCCAATTTCGTTTTAGAGTGGTAAAATTTCTGCGGACCTATCATTGTACATTTTTAGTTACTAAAATGGGTGAAAACTTCGTAAACAAGTTGTTGCTTCGAAGTACATGAGAACGCGAAGACAAGCTTTAAAAGGAACGATCAGGACAAGGAATTACAGTACCCAATCATCTTTTCAGCCATGCAACTTCCATCTCTTCCGGTAAGCACTGGAAGAGATGGAAACTCGGATGGCTTGAGCAAGAGGAGGTGCTGCGACTTGGACCACGTAAATCGATAATTGAAAAGTATAAATAATTATAATTCTCAATAATTGATTGGCTAACTGAATTAGTAAAATGAATTACTCGATGGGGTACAGAACCATATTGTTGTTGCTGATGATCTATGCTTCCTTGGCATAGTAAATTTAACTACTGGGTTTACATACGGTTTTTGAGACCAGTAAATCCTTGTTTTGCTTACTTTTACCGCTTTATTTGGACTGCGACCCAATAAAATATACCTTGGCCATAAACATTTATGACTACACTTGAACGGGAACGTTAGCAGTTACCTGACCCATGAACGAAAGGGGCTTTAAATGAAAAAAAAACAATCTCAACGATGCCGAAGTAATCAGAAGAGCTCAGAAGAGCAGGGCCTCGTCTGCGAAAGAAAATACTTTCGAAATGGAAGGGAGGATGGTTCGAAGAGACCATTCTGAGGAAGAGTGAGGTACTGACGAAGAGCCTGATAGAATTACAGGAACCATATACTCGATAGAATAAAAAAAAAGTATAAATAAAGTAAAGTAGTGAGGTATAAATAAATCTATCCTCACTTCAAAGCTCCCACATCTGTAGCAACCAGACCCCACTTACTGAAATTTTGGAAGATAGACGAAAAAAAGTCTTGAAGTAGATGTTCCAGGCAAGAAAAATTCACAGAAAGTTAGCTTAGAACAAGAAGGATGCATTAAATAATTGTCAATTTCATTTGAAGCGAATATCTGCTCAAATGCCATCGAATAGATTTTTTTGAAACAAGCCAGACGTGGAGACTTCAATAGGAACGGGAAATTTCGAAAAAGGCAGTGAAGCAAGGTATGAAGACTATGAAGTCGAGGGCACGTAAATTCAAAAAAAAAATGCACTTTGCCACAAGCTGAACAGCTATGCTTGCTAAGGATTTATAAAAAAGAGTAAGGAATTCCACCTGAAGCCCCGGACAATTATGTACGGTACCATGTAAGGTTGCTTTTCTTAGTGGCTTTATGGAATCACATCAACATGTAGTAAAAACAAGATGTTCAGGCCTCCTGCAAAGCCTGAAACGAAGCCTATTGAATCACTGAAACAAAATGGCTTCTCTCCAAGGTCCGGCTTCTTTAAATACGTGGAGAAGGATTAGATGGGAACAGCAAGTTCTTAAAAGATTTAGCACTTTCCCAGACATGTCCCTAGAGTATATCACGATGAAGTTCTTCAGAAAAAACACGAATTCTCGTAAGAACCCATCGCTCACGCGATTCCGTGCCGTCATGAGAGGGGATCGGCTCACAATCCCCTCAAGAAGATTATCCACCTTGGCCAGATTTATTAAATGCGACTCAGGATCGAGTATGAGCCATCACCTGGAAAGCAACGAGTCCGCCCTGACAACGATTCAGTAGTCTTACGCCATCCGCTTCTGATATCGTGCAAAACGACTTTATTTAGGTGGGTGGAAAGTAACCAGGAAATCTTGCCGGAGCGTCCAATCCTTGTCGCCCTGGTGTGCTCGGCTTCGCGAGAGAAGGTGCTCTTCTTAGATCTCCTCTACATCGTGGTCTTTGTTGATGTTTACGTCTGAATTTACGGAAACGAGAGATGTTCTCGTTTTAGCACTCACACCAGCCCAAAACGTGGTCTGGGCTGGTTGAGAGGCTCGCGAGACGGTCTGCCCTCATGCGTTCACCTCTTTAGACAATAGGGCAAGCATCCCGTTGTTTTGGAGTGTTGAAAATGGCTTCCACGGTGAAGATTCTCCCGTAGGGGGGTGACCGACCTCAGACAACACTATCCCTTGCGTGATCGGGTACATATAAGTCAATGATGGAAGAACAAAGTGGGAGAGAGTTCGGGAGGTCTGGTCCATGCGTTGTAGACCCAACCGATCAAAACAAAAGTTGAAAATTATGTTCAAAGTGATATGCATAATGAAATGAATCATATCAAATTGCTACACCGTCTCATGTTTAGAAAAAAAATGAAAAAAAAATTAAAATACTCTGGAATCCGTTCGTAGATAATTACAGTCACTCCGTAGAGATTACCGTTTTAGCTAAGCAGTTCTTTTCAAAATTTTTGGGATCAGAGTCTGCTTTTGGAGAAAGCATGCATTCTTCAGACATCATAGACCTCACTAACGTTGGTGAAACGTCCTGGGCTCACAACTTTGCAGACGCTGCAGAAGGGGAAGGAAGCGAACAATTAGGGACATCCGCTTTATCATAATTCTGTGTCTCGACTTGATAGGTGGTACGGTAGTACTGGGATAGTTGGTTTTCTGGAAACTCATGAACCCTCGATGTCTATACTCCCTATTACAACATTTTCTACTACATGGACGGTATTGTAGCTACCTTACCTGTACTGTACCTTGAAACAG